TGTATGTATGTATGTCGGTATGCATGTACGTGTATGTATGTATGTATGCATGCATGCATGTTTGTATGTACGTGTGTGTGTATATATATATATATGTACATTATGCTATGCTTTGCTATGCTATGATATGGTATGCTATTGGAGTGTATGGGTTTGCATGTGTATGTGCATATACACGCATGTGCATATATACATGTGTGTATGTATGTTGTTTCTTTGTATGTTTCTTTGTAGTATATATATATATACACACATACATTCGTACGTACGTACGTACGTACATACATGCATACATACATACATACATATGCATATACACACGCTACTACTACCGGCTGTCAATGCAGCCGGGGGCCCCCGCTCCACCTACGAATCCTACGATGTGCCGCAGCGGGAATCAGCCAAAATACCATGAACTTCACAGGATTCCACACGGACCTTCGCCAAGACCAAACGCCTCCTATACACATGACTAGCACAGGGAGGGGCATTACCATCTGTCAAGGTGGTTTGGCTAAGCCCCTGAGCAGTTCAGAGCTTCCCTCAAACCTCTCTCTCTCTCTCTGTCTCTCTCTCTCTCTCAGTTGGCAAACCTGAAGAACATGGGCTCTGAGCTAAGCTCCTACGCACCCTTGCAGAACGCTTATAGAAACCACCATCATACCCCTAATGTAGGGGCCTTAACAATTAGAATAGGGTTTGGGGGTATATTCTACTGTAACAATAAGGAACCTCGGCCCCTACATTACATGAACTCAAGCATCCTTCGACAGGAAGCCTTCACAAGGAAGCCCTCAAAGAGACCCTTGAAGGTCTCTGAAACGGATCCTTCAGCAGGAACCCTTACAGTAATACAGGGGCCTTGATAGTTTCAATAGGGTTTGGGGTCCATTATACTATAGTTATAATAAGGAACCCCCAAAACCACATTCTAATTATTAAGGCCCCTACATTAGGGTTTGGGGTCCATTATACTATAGTTATAATAAGGACCCCCAAAACCACATTCTAATTATTAAGGCCCCTACATTAGGGTTTGGGGTCTATTATACTATAACTATAATAAGGAACCCCCAAACCCCATTCTAATCATTAAGGCCCCTACCTTAGTGTTCGGGGGGAGGGGAGAGTGGAATCTGATGGCGACCGGAAGCCGAGTGCCTTAGTCGAAGGAAGGCCGAGGAGCGATCCACTGTTTTCCAAAACCTTTCAAAAACAAGGTTTAGGGCTAAGAGCTAAGAAATTAGGGTTTGCATAACAACCCTCTTTTCAAACACAAGGTTTAGGGCTGAGAGCTAAGAAATTAAGGGCTCAGAGCTTATAGGGATTAGGGTTTAGGGCTAAGAGCTAAGTTATTATGGGCTCGGAGCTTATGGGGATTAGGGTTCAGGCTTGAGGGAAGTTTTGTTGTTCAGGGCTGTAGTGCTTAGGGATAAATTTGAGACAGGTTAGTATAAGCGCTCTATTTCGAACGCCCTTGGGACCTTGCTCTTCCTGAGATTTGCAACTAAGGATGCCTTTGTCTGGTTTCCTAGATCAGTAGGGCATGTGGGTGTTAGGAAGGACTCTGTCTCGAATTCCAGGCTCAAGGAGGCTTAGCGCGGCTAAGCTACGCTTAAAATGTAGTTATGGGGACGTTCATAATCATAAGCAGCATGGGCTAGCTGTAGGGCGCTCTGGTCTAGTAACCCCATTCCCTACTTGTCGCTTCCAGGCCGGTTAACCCTAAGCCCTAAACCCCTAAACCCTAAGCCCTAGACCCTTAACCCCTAAACCCGAAGCCCTAAACCCCTAAAGCCTAAACCACTAAAGAAGACCCTGACAGCGATTTGACATCCTCTATAAGGTTCCCTTGGTGTCTAGGGCTTCGGAAGTATGTGGGGGGGTTTCCGAAAGTAGGGGGACCTAAGATAGTACCCTGAATAGTAGGATCCTTGTTATAAGGACCCCCAGAACAAGGTACCCCTAATTTTCGGAACTCCCATCTGACTTTGGTTCAGAAGCTTAGGTGGATCGCTCCAATGCTTTGACAGGGCCGTTCGGCGGAGACCCTGCCGAGCAATCCGGGCCGCACGGCCCCCTCAGTTAAATGGTAAGGTGACCATGGGGTTTAGGGTTGAGGGTTTAGGTCTAGGGGTTTAGGGTTTAGGATTTAGGGGTAAGGTTACCATTTTTGTACTTCTCCACCAACTGGTCGGTCTAGAGCCTCTGTGAGTAGTAGTCTAGGTCATGGTTCATGTCTGATGCCTCTCTGATGTTCGGTTTACAAGACTGTTTGTTTTGTGTCCACGGGAAAATGTGTGTTGACACGCGCTTTCTGAAGGCGTTTGGGGCTATGCCACAGCCATGCTTCTCCTGTAAATCTTCCGAAAGCCCAGTGGCAGAACAAAGGTGATCAGCAGCAGTCTTGCAGCTATCCGAATGCTAACTTCGGGTTCACTCCCCAATTCCGCAAGAGGTGCCGGCGAGCAAGTCCGGAAACCTTTTATCCTCCGCTGACCTCAAAAAACCTATCCTTGTTGTCTCAGCGTTCCCGCTGGCGGCAAGAGGATTGGTGGCTCAGGGGCTCACTTTCTGGGTCTGGCAGGTGCCTGTACGCAGTCATCACTCCTGGCCAAACGTGCCGTTGCCAAAAGAGGAATCTGCTGGGAATGGGTGCTGAAGCCGGGATATCACTGCATGCGCGTGCCGTGTCGCCATTAAGGCATGCGGCAAACCATTCGAAGACACCATATCCCCTAAGAGTGCATGATACTGTGTCCTTGCATGGCAGCAGGTCACGGCTGAGATCGAGAAGCTCCAGCAGCAGCAGATCCAGCTAGGGACCTACAACATGGTGCTGACATGCAAATGCCAGGTGCAGAGCATTTACACGCCCCTTGCAAATGGTTGGCGAATCTGTTATTATTTTTCTTTGCCGCATACTCCCAAATTCGTAGATGAGGCACAGCGAAGTTTCGATAATGTTGCAAAGCTATTAGATGTTATGCATGTGGGACATGCACGGGTCGACAACTTCTAGGTGCATCCCCATGTGCATCTGTTCGAGCGGTGAGATGCTACTGTACCGAGCCCCAAGCCCGTTGACAGCTGCGCCCCCATACAGCAAGCATGACAGTCGCGGGCTTGCAGCGTTGTTTGCTGAATGCTTTCAACGCCAAGGCATGAAAACACCAGCAAGGCAGTTTCTGGAAGGGGGGGCCTGGGGAGAGTTAAATTGGCAGCATGACTG